GAGCAGGCCATGATGAGCAAGCTACTAAGTAGCACTCCTCCATGGCCTCTGCATCAGCTCCTGTCTCCAGGATCCTTCCCTGTTTGAGTTTCTGTCCTGACTTCCTTCAGTGATGAACAGTGATGTGGAAGTGTGAGCCAAACAAACCCTTTCCTCCCCAAGTTGCTTTTGGTCATGGTGTTTCATCACAGCAGCAGAAACCCTAATAAGACGATGACTAAGACACTGATTGCCCTTCTGTCTAGGAATCAAGTCAGATGTGAGGAATGGCCATTACAAAAGTTTCGGAGTGAAAGTTCCGCTAGGAATCCGCAGGCAAGGCCAACAGGTTCTGTGTTGTGGGGAGCCAGACCTCCCCAGTGGTTTTACTGAAAGGGGCGGGCGGAGCTGACACTCCATCCGCTAGCCACAAGCCCAGTTGCCCACTTGACTAACCCCGGCAGGGGGGAGGTCTTAGGTTCTGTTGATTCCTGCAGGATGTACAATAGAGAAGAGTGGGAGGGAAGGAGGCCCAAAGCACCTTGCGGAGATTGAAGACGACTGTAGGCAGGGCATGTGGGATGCTGTCTCTCATGAGGTCTTCCTGGCAGTGGACAGTGCCTATCTGGGCAGAAAGCATTGGAAAGAGAGAGGACATGGCAGAGCAGCGGCCCCGGATAAAATGTTCCTGTGGGCCAAGTGAACACCACAGTACCAGGCTGGAGCACCTTTCTGAGGACTCATCCTAGTAGACTGACTTCTGCGCACTGCATTCTCCAGGTGGCAGCAGGATATGAGATGAGTGCTAAAATCTGAGCTGGGTGTCCCATCAGAGAAATGTCCAGGGGAAAAACCATGGAAATTACTCAGTGTCCCTCAGGAAGCCACCATTTGGCCACTGCAGACAGGGCCGGCCAAGCAGCGTGGAGAGACACTTTGCAGAGGCCAGACACTCCACCCGGGATATCTGCCCTCTCCTGATCCCCCCTTCCCATTTCAACCCTGGGATGGTGCTGGGGTGCATCTCCCAGGCAGTTGGTCCTTTCTCCTTCCCTGCTTTTTATGTCTAGCTGACAAGATTCTTCCTGGCTCAAGTCAATCCTTGGATGAGCAGGGAGGATGAGATGAGATTTAAATTGAGTTTGCGAATAAAACATCAAAGGATGAGGGTTTTAACAACAGAAAGTGATCCGAAAGGAACGCAATCTGCCCGAAATGTCATTAAGGGACAGAAAAGGGAAACTCAGCTGAGCATGGCTGGAGGCAGAGATTAGGGCGAGCGCTTCATTATCGTGCCCCATGGAGTCGAGCCGCCTCCACACACTGGTTCCACAAATAAACAGAATAATTGAAGAACAGCACGGTGGGGCTGAGTTTCACTTGGGCAGTGGGGCTGAGTTTCACTTGGGCAGTGGGGCTGAGTTTCACTTGGGCAGTTGGCTGTGGGGCTAGGAGAGAGAGCTTGGGGAGGTGGGTGTGCTCACCTCAGCGGGTTGTTGGGGCGGGGGACGAGTTCCCAGAGGAGGTGCACTGCACTCCAGCATGGAAACGTGAGATGAAAGCAGGTAAGGGGAAGGTAGTGTCAGGTGGAGGTGACAGTGTGGGGCAACCAGGGAATGAAGTGGAAGCCAAGGGATGTGTAGCCCTGTAAGCTAAAAAGTGATGGTCCTAGGGAGCCGCTGCGAACCTTGGGGAACATAATCAGATGTGCATACTAGCTGGGATATTTTTAATTAATTAGGATTTTTTTTGGGGGGGGGACAGGGTTTCTCTGTGTATCTTTGGAGCCTATCCTGGAACTCACTCTGTAGCCCAGGCTGACCTCAAACTCACAGAGATCCACCTGCCTCTGCCTCCTGAGTGCTGGGATTAAAGGTGTGTGCCACCACCGCCCAGCAATTAATTAGTTTTTGAGACAGGGTTTCACTATGTAGCTCTGGATGTTCTAGAACTCACTATGTAGACCAGAGAATCCAGAAACCCACCTGCCTCTCCCTCCTGAGGGCAGAGATTAAAGGCGTGTGCCACTATGGCTAATATTCTTTTCTTTTTAAAATAAAACTCTACTGTAATGAACTTGCACATAAAAAACATCATGTAGTGAGATTAGTCAGACCCAAAGTCTACACACCTCCACGAACATCTGTACAGTTAGAACAGCCATTCTGAAGCTGTGGAGCTTCACACTGGATTTTATACTTTCACTAGTAATTATATTTTTATGCACTTATCCACCACAAAAAAAAACCTTGACAAATGCATGAGTTAAAACTTGAAAAAACAATTAGCTTTATATCCCTTTTCACCACACACATACACACACACACACACACACACACACACACACACACACACAAATGTACATGTAAGGACAGTATACTAGGTAGGAAAAGGAAGAAGAAAGGGTACATATTAGGTAATGAGGAAGGGCAGAATACAGGTAAAAGACACATGAGTAGAGCTGGGTCTTTGGGCAGCAGATGCTGCGGATTCTGACCTCCATGCATGCTCCCCAGTCATTCACCCGCCCCCCCCCCTGCTCCTCACAAAAGCCATTTTCTCCCAAATCCTGGGTCGCTGTTCTTTCCAGCACCCTTTACTCCACCTCTGCTGCTGGACTCTTCCCTTGGTGGGATGCTGGCAATCGCCACCTCCCCTGGAAGCATCTCACTAGCCCCCTCCTTCCTCGCTCTCCTCTCAGCTCAACACGATTCTGTTCCTTCCCTAGGCCTCACCACCAGCATCTCCTAGGGATGTGTGTAAAGTGAAATATCTTCCCTTTATCTTGTCTGGTCTGCACCCCATGGGGCAACACAAAGGCTACTATTTATTCTTTCACACATTAATTTAAGATGCTTTAATTGCTGCTATGATATGTTTTATATAATATAATTAATGTTTTAATTCTGTGTACTGGCTTCCCCTAGGCAGTTTTGCGAAGGGCCCAATTTTGGAATCAAGCAAATAAAAAATAAGCAATAGCTGAAGTTATCTAGTAATGCCCCCACACTCAGGAATGAAAACTAGGCTTGTTTTCCATAGTTTAATTTTCTCTTCATCCTGGGTGTCTTTGTGTGTCTTTAACGGAGACCTCTGGGTCCTGATTTGAATGTCTCTGGCCTTTTTGTACATGACCACCATCTTTCTACCCAGGGGGCCACTGTGGTGTGAGGTCAGTATTGAGACCACCAGGGGTGTGTCCTCTTTGCCATTCCCTTTGTGATGGGGGCTGTTCCTGGGTGAGAAGTGACAACCTCTTCACATACTCACTATGAGCCCCTGAGTTAGGACAGTGGCGGAGGTGACAGAAGACAGGATGGACTCCAGAGGAAGAAGACAGACAGAGCAGTGGAACCTGGCTTCCCAGCATGCTGCTTCTCGGTCATTCACCTGGCCTGTGCTCCTCACAATGGCAACTCCTAAATCTGGGATGAAGACAGATGCAGCTTTTACTGTGTCTTTGTAGCAAAGGCCCCGTGGTGGTTTGATTGAGAATGGCACCCACAGCTCATATGTTTGAATTCTTGGTTCCCGGTGAGTGGAACTGTTTTGGAAGATTAGGAGGTGTGGCCTTGTTGGAGGGGGTGTGTCACTAGAGAGCAGGCCTTGAGGTTTCAAAAGCCCATGCCAGGCCCAGACTCCCACCCCTGGCACCTGCTGCCTGTGGATCAGGATGTAAAGCTCTCAGCTACTGCTCCAATGTCATGCCTGTCTGCTTCCCGCCATGATGATCATGGAATAACCCTCTAAAACTGTAGGCAAGGCCCCAGTTAATGGCTTTCTTTTGTAAGAGTTGCCATGGTTATGATCTCTTCACAGCAATGGAACAGCAAGACAGGCCCCAAGGTTGGGGTTAATGTACCATACCTTCCTTCCCTATTCCTTCCTCCTTTTTCTTTCCAGCCTGACCTCTCGGCATGGCCTGGATGTTCAGAGCCTGGAGCATCAACATCCCAAGCACCATCTAGTTCAAGCTCCTGGGAAGGGAATGAACTCAGTGTCTCAGGCCCAAAGCTTGGACCAGAACCCAGGCCACCCTGGCTGCAGAGCAGAATGCTAACACTGGTTCAAAAATGGGGTCGGTAGTGGAGGGTGTGGGGTGAAGGTACTGCTTATGGAGCCTGGCGACCTAAGTTTGAGATACAGACCTCACAGGAGACAACTAACTCCCCTAAGTTGTCCTCTGACCCCCATATACTCCATGGGGGGGGGGAGACGAAGAGGAGGAGGAGGAGGAGGAAGAGGAGGAGGGAGAGGAGGAAGAGAGAATATGAAGAATAGTGGGTAGTGTTGGGGAGAGGACCAGAGTTCAAAACCTTGCTCCCGACCATCTCCCACCAAAGTTAATGGAGAAATAGAGAGAGCCTCTAGTCCGCTAACATTTCCCAAGGGATCCCGGGATCCTACGAAAGGCTGGTCCACCCAGTAAATACCTGTCTCCAGACTCCGGATGGAGCTGGGATGGGATAGAAGCCGCTGGTAGAGACACATGGGTGGCACGCATGGATGGGAGGATGGGACTCTGCCCCTACACGTGGGAATTTCCTTCCAAAAAAGAGAAACCGAGTAGGGAACTCATTTTCTTGAATCACTTCCTGGCTCTCCAACTGTGGTCTTTCCCGTTTTTTGGCTTTGCGGTGATGCTGGGGACTTCCTTAGACCTCTCTGTCCCCAGTGGGGACGCTTTCGGTTCTGCGGAGATTTCCCGGAGGTATTGGGGGAACCCTGGGTATCCAGTGGCGACCCCCAACCCCCCAGTCCCTACAGGAATCCTCCCCTCTACTTCTTGCAAGCAGGGGGGTCCCTAGCCCTGCTATAGGTGGCTCTTGGGGTCCCGGGATGTAGAGAAAGGTCTCCCCTTGGGACCACGCCTCCTGCCACCTAGGTGCCTGTCCCTTAAACTCCCGGGGGGAATCAGACTCTCGGGAAGGTCCTGGGGAATTCCCTGCCCAGCGACTAGCCCGAAGCCCTCATGATTGGTGCCTGAAGACCCCGCCCCCTTCCTGGGCGGGGCCCTTGGCAGGGACTTTGGAGTTACTAGAGGCACCACCCTTATCAGTGATCTGGCCGCTCGAACCCCGCAATGGTGACTTTGCCTCGGCAGTGTGTGCTCTGGGGCTGCTTGTTGACAGCGGTGAGTGGCTTCTGTCCCTATCCCAAAGGATTTGAGAGCGGGAGATGGAAGGCGGAGACAAGACGTCGGGGAGGAGATCTTCCTAGCCGATTTGGAGGGGAAGGTGGGAAGGGGTGAATAGGGCGGGCAAGATCTCTCTGATCTTGACTATAAAATAAGGTGGGTGGGCTGTCCCTCTCTCCAGTCCACAGGGGGAGCTTAGGGAGGGTATGCTTACACAGCGGTGCCTGGACGACTTTATCTAATCCGAGCCTGGGCTCAGGAGCTGGCCACAGAGATTGGAAAGGGTTTTGGAGTGCACAGGAAGACAGCCTGGCTAGGCTTGGAAGGAGCAGGTCTGGCCTGTTTCCTGTCACTTTCCCGTTGTGGATAGACGCCATCAGTGGTTATTTTCTCCCTGCTAGCTGGGGCCACTTTCTTCCAGGGCATCTTGTAGGAACCAGACCCTGGGTACTTTCTTGGAGAGGTAATTTAACACCCACCACACCGCTACCATAGCCAAGCTAATCTAGGAGGAATCCCCATGTTGGTGCCTCTGCTTCTTGAACTTAAGATGGCATAGGAGATACCCAAAGAGAGGAATAGCCGTGGAACTCAAGAAGGGGTGAAGAGATCAGCCTCGGTTTCTCCAGGTACCAGAATGGCTCAGACCCAGCCAAGCACATCTCCGGGATTTTCAAAGCTACCACTTGATTCACTTTTGGTTTAGATGTATTTCTGCAGTTCCTCATTCTGGAGGCTGGGAATCCCCTGACTACCTGAGTCTCATCCCTGCCCCTCTGGCTGGGCTCCCCATGTTTTCAAGTGCTGTAGAGTCTTGTTGGTTGGAGACAAGGACTTAGGTATTTAAGCTGACTTTGAATCACCCACGTGGGCAGGTGTCATGTTACAGGCGTGGCTTTCTGCAGCTGAGACAGTCAGTGCTGTGTAAGCACACACTATCAACCAGCAGGATTGAGAGAATCTCAGTACCCAGGTTGACCTCAAACTCCCTATGTAGTTGAGGATGTCTTTTAATTTCTTTCTTTTTTCCCCTCATCTTTTTGTTTGTGTGGTTTGTATGTGTGTATACATTTGTATGGGAACATGTGTGTTCTTGCATGTGGTGGCCTGAAGCTGATATCGTGAGTCATTCTTGGACACTCTCTACCTTTACTCATTCAGGGAGGGTCTCAATCAAACCCAGAGCTCCCCATAGGGCAGGTCTCACTAGCCAGCTTGCTTTGGGGATCCCCCGTCTTTGCTTTGAGAGGCTGGAATTACAGGGAGGCCTCTACAAATACCTGGCATTTACATGTGTTTCTGGAGATCTGAACTCTGATCCACACATTTATGTGGCGAGCACTTTAGTGGCTGAGCCGTCTCTCCTGTCCTTGGATTTCTCTGTAATGCTGGGACTACAGGCATGCATCACCATGACCAGTTTTATGTGATACTTAGAATGGAACCTAGGGCTTCATGGATTCTGGGCAGTCATTGTACCAACTGAGCTGCATCCCCAGCCAAAGGCTGTAGATCCTGACCTGTGGCCTGGGCAAGGATAACTGTGGGGGTCAGCAGCAGAAGAGAGAGAAATGAGGAAGCTGCTTTACAAGCTTTCATTTTCACTCTGTGGTTCTCAACCTCTGGGTCTCGACTCTGTGGGGGTGTTGAACAACCCTTTCCCAGGGATCGCTTAAGACCACCAGAAAGCACAGACATTTACATTATGATTCATAACAGTATCGAAATTACAGTTATGAAGTAGCTAGGAAAATAATTTTATGGTTGGGGGTCACCAAACATGAGGAACTGTTAAAGGGTCACTGGTCTAAGCAATGGCTTTTAGGGAGACAGGATGCAGGAGGAGGGTAGAGTGGGAGAGAAGTGGATGAGGGCCTTGCGGGAGGAATGGAGGAAGAAACAGAGGTGTGATGAAGGGTAGTCTGGACCACCCAAGGGCAAAGTCTGCCCTTGTGAGCCCCATCTGGGCTCCAGGTAGGTGCTGGGCCCTGACAGAAACAGCAAGTGCTATTTAGCAAGGTCTTTCTGTGCACAGGACTGGGAGAGAGATTGCATACAGCAAGGTGTTTCTGTGCATGGGACTGGGAGAGAGATTGCATACAGCAAGGTGTTTCTGTGCATGGGACTGGGAGAGAGATTGCATACAGCCCCCGTTGGATTTCTTCCGACTCTTCTGTTGCACAGATGACCAAAATGAGGCTCAGAAAGGGGGCGAGTTTTGCCCAAAGTCTCTCAACATGGGTATGAATCTATATCTACCTGACTTCTGAACTTGCCACTCACATGGTGAAGGGTCCTCACGCTGTGGCCCTGAGAACTTTGTGGGGGAAAGACCGGTGCTTTGGGGAATGGAAACTGGGGCTGGCGAGCCATCAGAGGAAAGGTGTCCTTTTCACCTGCTCGGGGATGCCATCAAGGACTCTCACTGCTCTAGAAGTAGGGTGGGAAGTCCGATGAGGTGTCCTGGGGATGCACTGTTGCAGGAGGAGCTTTCAGATGGATTTCATCAAGTGATTTGCTCAGATACCCAGGTTGAATTAGGGCTATCCGTTAGCCAAATCCTGGACAGTCAGTCAGTTGCCAGGGTACGGGACACCCACGCAGACACTCATCTGTGTGTACTGATGAGAACTGCCGTTTTGTGAGCACCTACCATGGTAGACTACCAGGCCATGCACATGTGTTCTTTCACGTTCTCAACCCAACCTTCGGGGCAGGTGTTATTAATTCCATTGAAAGATGATGAAACAGGGCTAGAGAGACAGTTTAGTGGGTAGAGCACATGCTGCCAAGTTCAGTTCTTGGTGCCCGCAGTGGACTGGCACACGAATAAAATGATAAAAACAAATCTTTAAGGATGAGGAAATGCGGCCTCCTCAGAAAAGCAAAGTAGTTTGTGTTGCAGAGTGTTTTTTTGTCTTCTTCTCATGTGTGGTCTCCCCCATCCCTAGCCTTGGGTTTTTCTTTTTCTTTTGTTTTGAGACAGGGTTTCCCTGTGTAACAGTCCTAGCTGTTCTGGAACTCACTCTGTAGACCAGGCTGGTCTCGAACTCACAGTGATCCACCTGCCTCTGCCTCTCAAGTGCTGGGATTAAAGGCGTGTGCCACCACCGCCTGGCCCTTGGGTATTTCTAAAATTTGGCCTGACTTTAAGGAACGCACGTACAGGCTGGAGGGATGGCTCAGCACTTCAGAGCATGTGCGGCCCTCGCAGAGGGCTGGGGTTAGGTTCCCAGCACCCACACGAGCAGCTGGCAACCACCTGCAGCTCTAGCTCCAAGGAGCATCGGGCTCCCTCTTGTGAACTCGGAGGGCACCTGCCCTCACCCAGTGTCTCAGCCTCGTGGCGGCACAGTGTGTGGCCCTCTGCAGAACGATTCTTACCCTTGCAGCATCAGTCGATGTGGAGCTGGGGACAGAAACCATGGTGGCACTCAGAAGGGGCTGAGGCCAGCTGGAGCCAGCAGCCTCCCACTCTAGAGGAAGTGCTTGAGTTCTCCCTTCCTGCCGGGTCTTCAGGAGCCCTGAGGAGTCAAATGCATCTATCTGGGTTAGAGAGTTCTGAGTCCTTGCTTTGTAAGATGGCCGAATGACTCTCTGGATGCTTTTTATAACCACACCACTTGGCAGTATAGTAAAAATCAAATATACCTCATACTGCAGGGGCTTTCTTTTCTGCTTCAGAGTTCTACATGGGCTATATAGTGTATGTCTTGGCTAACTTTCAACATGCCTGTCAAAGATCCCTTCCAGTTACACACTTCTGTTTTTAGGTCCATCTAGGACAATGCAACACATGCACAGACAAACAGTACGTCTTCAATGGCCAGTGCTGCGATTTGTGCCAGCCGGGTGAGGTGACAGTCCCTCCAGCCCCATACCAAGACCCTTCCCTCTTAGTTTGCTGGCAGATGCAGACCCCATGTATGAACTGTGAACTCAAGGCTGAAAATGACTCACCCCCACCCCCTTCCTTGATGCCAGGCTGCCCTGTGTCTTCCATCATTCCCACTCACGTGGGTCTGAGATATCCGTTCCCAAGCTCCACTCCCCCAGGCCCTGGCTCA